CTCATTCATAGTTCTTCTGACTACTAGATGTGCTGTATTATACTGTCCCCACTGGTCTGTAGAACTAACATCAAACAATTCACAATTTTATACCAAGGACCAAAATTGCGGAAATCTCTGCCTCATTCAATGTTTGAATCTAACAATATAAGATCTTTCAAATGGTTACTTAAATCCTATTTAGTTAATTTACAAAATACTCAATGAATTTTACAGCAAGGTTATTAATACTGTATTAATTAATCAAGTTCTCCTAGTTCTTTGTATCAGTTAAATCACGTTCTACATTCTAGTTCAACTTAAACTCTGATTTAAAGAGGGAGCCTTACCTATAAGTCCTCATGGCTTCTTGAGACTTCCTTGCCTTTTCCTTTTTCTATTTTATATTTCCTATGTATTATCTATGTAAATTTGCTTTGTTCCCCTTTCAATATGTACTAAAGGCATACAATAAATAAACAAATAAAAAAATCAAACTCATCAATCCGCAACTATTGATTATTTGATATTACTGATACAACAGGATATTGCTGTACACAGTAAATGTTTACTTAAGCAGTGTAATCCAAGTTGGCCACTTAAAAGGAAGAATTTTATCTCCTTAGTATTGATTGGGTACACCGGTATGGTTGAGTTTCTATTGCTTGAGGAGCAGCTACTGAAATTGAACTTTTAGGTTGGGAGCTGGCAAACCACTAATAAAACACATATTCAAGCTACAAATTTTTTTAAATAAAATTTATCAATAGAGAGTCGCCAACACAAACAAGAGTCACATTATGAACTTCCAAATCTTCCCTGTGAGCAAGAATTTAGTTCGAGAAATCTTATCAGAAAATTATATCACATTTGCTTTTATTAAATAATGGAAATTGATGGCAATTTAGAATTTCTAACGTCCTCTCCCATAACATTCCTAGTCCAATGGTCCGTCTCAACTTGTCCCAGAAATGTCAAAATAGTCGATATTACCTGTAGTGATAGGGTGCTCCAAGGGTGTTGTAGAGTATTTGAAACAGATCAGCATGCAGCTGAAGTTTAGAGTACAACGAGGTCTATGTGAGGAAACATTTCAACTAAGATGTGATGAAAACAAAAGTGATTTCGCTTTCACTATGACTGTCTTCCCCATACTTACGGTTCTACTGGAGTTAAGTTTTGTTTCGCCAATATTTTTAGAAGGTGAGTTACCAGCGACAAGGAAATAATTAACTAGCAAGCCTGATTACAAAATATTCATAATTGTCGACTCTTTGGTC